GAAAACTTTCTAGTAAACAAATGCTTGGGAGCTGGAGGGCAGTATCCAGAGAGGAAGGCAAAGGACAGAGGAAGAACAAACTAAATCATATTATTTTTGAACACTGGTGTAAGGGTTGTGATTTAGGCAGGCTGTTGACTGCTTGGGTTTGTGTCCTAGCTTCACCTCTTATTAGTTACAGAGCAAGCTGTTAAGCACTGTGCCTTAGTTCCCAGTCCTCCCTATAGGACAGAAATAATAACAGCACAAACCTCAGCAAGTTCATGAGGATTAAGAGTGTTAAAATATGTGAAGTACTTAGAACACTGCCAGGCACTCCCTTTGCCTTTCAGTTACTTATATTCTTTACCTCAACTTCACCAAAGGATTATAACAACAACAACAAAAGATGAAATTAAGGTAACGCTAATCTATTTTACTTCATGTCAATCAGCTGTGGCAAAAGATTTGATGAATTTCAAGTCAAATAAATGAGACTTGAGGATTGTTCTAAGTCTTAACTTGAGCTACTTCATATTATGTTCATATTTTCAATGTCCACCATTTCCATGAATAATTTAGAATGGGTTGCCTAACACCTTTGGAAACAAAAATATCTGAAGTTAAAAAACTAGCAGATGGGTAGAGCTATTTTGAATAAACACAAGGGGAAAAAGAATTCAAAACCTACTAGACTTATACCACAAATAAGAAATTCAAATGCAAAGAGAAACTATTATGCTTGTAAGTGGATTTGTTTATTTTTTCATGGGCATTTTTACTTTAATGAAATAGAGTGGAGTCAAAAATGCGAGAGGGTGCTAAATATAGGAAAAATTAGAGTTATATTGGGAAACTTTTAAAAAATATATATTTTTATTTTTAAATTGTGAAGTACAATTAAGGGTTAGGTATACAAATAGTCATTGTGCAGGTACCCTTGTTGATGAGGTATATCTCCCCCTTCCCCAAGCAGATATTGACTATCATTAATCCCACCTCCCTGCCCCTCCCTGCTCCCACCGTAGTTTCCCGCTTCTGTCACTCCTTTTCTATAAGTGGATTTAAAACATAATTATCACCCATAAGTACACACTGAATTAAATATAAAAATATACAGAAAACCTAAATAGTTAGGCTAAAGTATTCAGTAATAGAGAAAGAAGTTAAAGAAAGAAGATGAAATAATTCTTTTTTTTTTATTTTTTTATTTGGAGTTTCACTCCGTTGCCCAGGCTGGAGTACAGTGGCACACTCACGGCCACCCCAGCATCGACCTGCTGGGCTCTGGCGATCCTTCTTCCTCAGCCTTCCAAGTAGCCAGAACTATAGCGTGCTACCATGCTTGGCTAATTTTGAATTTATTGTAGAGACGAGGTCTTGCCAAGTTGCCTGGGCTGGTTTCAAACTTGTGGGCTCAGGCAATTCGCTCGGCTCGGCCTCCCAAAGTGCTGGGATTACAGGCTGAGCCACCAAGCCTGATCTGAAATAATTTTTAATTATGTATTTTAAAAATATAGTTAGAACTCTTTTTTAAAAGCATGGGGAAAAAGAGAAAGTCAAAATAAAGTATTTATTAAGTCAAAGAATAACAAAGACAACAAAATGGAAAGATTTAATACAGTCTTTGTTCCTAAAATATAATCTAGAACTAGAAAACAAGTGGGAAATTGTAAACCTAAACTTTAAATATTCTGTTTGACTTTTACTAAAAGATGTAATCTTCATATAATTCAACTAAAATGAAAAGAGTTAGTAAATGGCTCAAGAAAGAGGGCCCATCACCAATGTACTAGAGATATTTACAAAGTAGAAAATCAACTGAGCAATACGAAGACCATTAAACCCACTCTAAATGGGTTCCCACTGTTCAGAGGGTAGAAGGCAAGTAGTCATCCTGGACAAGTTTTGGTGTGTAGCCTGACTTTCATTTGGATACAATGCTTGCAAACATAATTATGTCACTGATTTAAGAACACTCAAAGAAAAGGATTGCATAATAGTCAGAAAGAATTTGCATGGCGCAGATCTTGCTATGCTAACACAATAGCTTTTTTTAAATAACAGAGAGTGGATCAAAGAAGCTGGGTAGAAAACATTTATCTCTATTTTTACAGTGCTTGCAATTCTGTACTGCATATCAGCATGCTGAGAAATTAAGAGACAAATTGTATAAATGCTGTGACAAAGTGAATTACTCATGGCTTACAGATAGAAAATAACAAATTATGATTCTTTTAAACACAGAAGTACATGAACACAAACTGACCTATTGCAGGTTTAAATTTGCAGCTAGACTAATTATGTGAAATAAAATAAATATAGCTTATACATTAATCACTTCCAGGATAAAGTTAATTTAATAGCACTCAAATATGTAGACAACCCACAAGAAAAAGATATTGGAAGCAAATGACAACAAAGACTCTAGCAAGTTAATTTACTTTTACCTACAAAAAATAAGCAAAAGACACCTATTGAATGAAAAACACACTTTTCATCTTTTGAAATTAGTGTCTTATAAGTTATTTTATCAGTAAAATAACGTGGTAATAATTTACTTATGCTTTTCAGATGCACAGAAAATTCAGTGAGCTCTGGTAAAGATAAATCCACATTAGTAAATATTGATACTGTTTTGACATTCTTTGGTTTCATTGTGCATGATTGTAATTCATTAGAGTAACAGCTTAATGGGTAAGGGCCTGTTTTAGAAAAGGGACATAACCCATGCCTGTAATTCCGGCTACTTGGAAGGCTGAGGCGGAAGGACTGCCGGAGCCCAGCAGGTCAAGGCTGTGGTGGCCGGGAGCGGCCACTGCACTCCAGTCTGGGCGACAGAGTGAGACTCCAACTCAAAAAAAAAAAAAAAGAAAGAAAAGGGACATAACAAAGGAGGGCTATACTTTTAATGAGATTGTGAGGACCATTGCAAGTTCAAGAAAAGCGACTTAAACATGAATTTAAGAGAATAAAGGGAAGCTTGTCATTCATTTTTCATTTATAATGCAATAATTCAGTTTTTACTAAGTGTAAAGACATCATGGATACTAAATCCTTTATAATCCTGCAGTTTATACTCTAGTTAGGATGCCAGATTCATAAAGATGCTAATTAAAACAGCCATGATGGAAGGAATATGCTTTTTCAACAATTCTCAAGAACTGAAATGGAAAATGTACTGTATAGTCTAGAGTAAGTATATGGTCAGTATGACTTAGTGAAAAGTTTAAATTAAAAATTATCTTAGAAAGATTACAATATAGCTACTTATGAAGTTCTTAAAGTATAATTTTAAAGATGCTTAGAACTAATTTAATGAAAAAAGAGAGACAGAAAAATCAACTGTCAATATGTAAATGAGGAGTTGTGAAGTACTGAAAGATTCCTTTCACTAGGATAACCATTTATATTTTTTCATAAAAACAAATCACTTAGCTACTTCAGTATCTGTAGGTACTATCAGTGCTATTCACTTTCAATTGATATGAATTCAATTAAGATCTGAATTAATGGGATTAGGCTAATAACTATTGAAACATATTTTCACTGTGTTGGTTGGTAATCAGTACTACTCTTGTGATTTACAGTACCACAGTGTTTTATAAGGGCCATTACGTTATTAATTAGCTACATTGATCACAATGCCACACAACACAGCAGTAATTTGCTCAGACTGCTTTGCATTTAGTATATCTATTTGTACTATGGACATGCCATAAGCAAAACTGAAATCAGATAGATTGCTTCCACTAGCAATGACAAGATGTGCATTTCAGAGAGGCAAAGGAAGAGAATTCTATTAAAGATTCTTGCCATTGGAATTCATTTGTTTTTGCAGTATACCATAATATAGGTTGATGCTGGATAAGATCATAAAGTCAGGATTTCTAGGGGTCAACTAAGGTAAGAACACCATGTATGTATAAGATCATATTATATATGTATAAATTCATCCACATTTAGTCTGAATCTATTTGTAAGGTTCTACCACCTAAATCTACAGAAGTTTTGTTTTGTTTTTGGATTGGCTTTGAGGATGTGGATCTGAATCTGATGAGAAGCTGAATCTGATGAGAAGCTGGTTTCTACTGAATTTCAGCTTCCATTTGTAGGCTGAGAGCGCAAAATTTTTTTTCCTGTTTGTTATAGCAAAAGATATGTACATACTAAGGTAAAATTTTCAAATTTTGGATTTAGATAATAGCACTCAAAGTCCAAATTTTGGTACACATAATCAGGCTTCAACTTCTAAAAGCTTGTAAGAGGAAATCATTACTCTGCTAAATTTAACCAGTAAAGTGAAATGATTGCTCAAGCAGATCATCAACTTAACTGAGAAGTATTTGCCTGAATCTTGCTTTAAACACTGCAATTTACAACAGTATATGTATATAAAGCCTGTATGAAGAAAAAAAGACAAAATTTTCACTCACATAAGTGATAGATAGCAAACTAAAGAATTTGATGTAGGAGATTAAAATGTTTTAAATTTTTAAATGTAGTATTTTGGGGGGATTGCTTAAATGTTATTAAAGGAAAGGGAAACTTGAATCTTAAAAATTAAGAAACACATTTTCTAATTTAAATTATGACTATTTCTGTTATTTCTGATTTTATTGTTCTCTCTTAACAGCTTTTAAAAAAAGTTTTGTTAGCTAGAGGACTTTCCTTCATCACTGCTAAAATTTTAAAGATCTATATATAAGTTCTATCTATTTCTATGGTTGATTTTGATAATTTATTAACTACAAAGATGAAAATCAGAAGGCACAAACTAACATCAGTTCTACCATTCTAATTTTATATCCTTCCAATGTCCCAGAATACATAATAGGATGATTATAAAGTAATCTTTTGCTAGTCAACATTAGTGTCCAGGACAATGAATATAGTGTGAAATTGTGTGATAGTTTAGTTTCATGAAGTAGCATGAGGTAACCTCTAAGGCATTCGATTATATTCTATGTTCTATCCAAGAAACAGAGACTCCTCAGAGAAAAATGAACACATTTCCTTAC